GACTTTGCTGCCACGTCACTACCTTTCTCGTTATCTTCTTCGTTATTAATTTATTATTATTGTTTTCCTTGTTTTAATGGGGATTTATTTTCAGAGACACTTTAAGTGGAGTTAATTCAAAATTATATTTTGTAATTTTTTAATATAAATTAATAATTAAAATATATAATAAATATATTATTAATATATATTTTTATTACTATTATTTTACCCAAACTAAGAAACCCAGAAGGCCTCTTTTCTTCTCCCTTTTCTCTCCCTTCTCTTTTGCTTCTACCACCTTTCTCTAGCGCTGTGTTTGTTTTGATTGGAAGCCTTTGAACTTCCGAGGTTTTAATGCTTGAGTCGGTTTATGCTCCCTCCTCCGATAATCCTTTGGGGTCTGTCAGTTTCTGGGTCTTTTTTCGGTGACCCCTTTTGGTTTTTTGTTTTCTTGTTGTTTTGTTTTGTTTTATGTTCTTGTACAGTTTGTTTTTTCAGATCTGGCGACCCTCGGCTCTTTCTTGTTGATCTTGGTAGGAGCTCGTTGGTTTTTTCTGTTTTTTGTTCTGTTAGGTGTAGATCCGGCGACCTTCTTTCTCCTCCGACGGATCTGAGATGGCGCGCGCGAGAGCTACCAAATCTGACGCCCACCACAGCTCTTCTACTGGTTCGAGGGACTTCCGCCGCCAGATCGAGTTACGCCCGGCATCCTGGAGCCTGTTGCTTTTTCTTCAAGGGTAAATAGAAGGGTGTCTTGTACGGATCGGTCGACCGAAGGTCGTGGTATATCCGGGGTCATTCGTGGTTGTTCAGCCTCTGGATATGGGTCTACTCTGTTCTTTTGTTCCAGTTATTTTTACTATTTGTTATATTTGTAGATGACGTATGGCAATATTTATAATGAATCCATTCCATTATGCTCAAAATATATATATATATATACATATATATATATATACTTTTATTATATAAATTTAAAAAACTCTACAATAAAATTAAAAATATCTTTTCAAGTTTGGTGCGTTTGACTTGAGCATTAAAAATGTAATTTCAA